AAATCAGCCCAAATCAGCCCAGAATCACCCGGAATCAGCCCCAAATCAGCCCAAATCAGCTAAAATCAGCCCAAAATCAGCTAAAATCAGCCCCAAAATCAGCTAAAATCAGCCCAGAATCACCCGGAATCAACCCCAAATCAGCCAAAATCAGCCAAAATCAGCTGAAATCAGCCCAAAATCACCTAAAATCTGCCCAGAATCACCCGGAATCAGCTAAAATCAGCCAAAATCAGCCCAGAATCACCCGGAATCAGCCCCAAATCAGCCAAAATCAGCTAAAATCAGCCCAAAATCAGCCCCAAAATCAGCTAAAATCAGCTAAAATCAGCTAAAATCAGCTGAAATCAGCCCCAAAATCAGCTGAAATCAGCCCCAAATCAGCTAAAATCAGCTAAAATCAGCTAAAATCAGCCCAAAATCAGCTAAAATCAGCTAAAATCAGCCCCAAAATCAGCTAAAATCAGCCCAGAATCACCCGGAATCAGCCCCAAATCAGCTAAAATCAGCTAAAATCAGCCCAAAATCAGCTAAAATCAGCCCAAAATCAGCCCCAAATCAGCCCCAAATCAGACCAAAAATCAGCCCAAAATCAGCCCCAAATCAGCCAGAAGCAGCCCAAATCAGCCAAAAAATCACCAAAAAGTCATCTAAAATCAGCCCAAAATCTGCCCAAAAATCAGCCCAAAATCTGCCCAAAAATCAGCCCAAAATCAGCCCCAAATCAGCCCCAAATCAGCCCAAAAGTCAGCCCAAAATCAGCCTCAAATCAGCCCAAAAATCAGTCCGAAATCAGCCCCGAATCAGCCAGAAGCAGCCCAAAAATCAGCAAAAATCACCCCAAATCCAGCAAAATCACCCCAGATCACCCAGAATCACCCCAAATCATCCAAAATCACCGCAAATTCACCCCAGATCACCCAGAATCACCCCAAATCATCCAAATCCACCCCAAATCCCCCCAGGACCAAAACGTCTCCGGTGAAGGGAATCTGTGATCCGTGCCTCAGTTTCCCCACCCAAAACCTGCCTTTTAACTCCACGATGAATTAGCTAATTAACAAACTGCATTAATTAACCAAGCCCCACCACCACAGACACGCAGGCCGCAGGGCTGATCGCCCACCGGCGCCGCCTAAGACCCCAATCCTGCCCCGTGCCTCAGTTTCCCCACCCAAAAACCCCACGCGAAGCGAACGAGCGCCGAACTAATTAAGGGATTAATTAACCGCGCGAACCCGGCGCACCGTGGACGGTGAGGTTGAAGGCCTGGTCGTCCACCAGGGCCGGCTGCAGCTTGATCCTGGCGCCGAAGACGCCGCTGTCGCCGCGCTGCAGCTGCCGCAGCCGCAGCGCCGTGCCGTTGACGGGCTCCAGGCGCCGGCCGAAGCGGTCGCGGGGGTCCGGCCGCTCGAAGCCGCCCGGGCCCACCTCGGCCACCTGGATGGTGGCGCCGGTGCCGCCCGAGAAGCTCCACTCGATCTCCTTCACCGTCCGGTTGGGCGGCAGCGCCGGTGCCAGCAGCACCGAGCCGCCGAGTACGCCGTGCACCGGCCGCGGCGCCGCGGCGCGGGCATGGCCGAAGAGCAGCTCTGGGACAGAAAATGGAGTGTTGGGGACATTTGGGACATTTGGGGACAATCTGGGGACAATTTGGGGATGTTTGGGGACATTTGGGGATGGTTTTTGGGGTGCCAGCAGCACCGAGCCGCCCAGCACGCCGTGCACCGGCCGCGGCGCCGCGGCGCGGGCATGGCCGAAGAGCAGCTCTGGGACAGAGAAATGGGTGTTTGGGACAATTTGGGACAATTTGGGGACATTTGGGGATGTTTGGGGACAATTTGGGGATGTTTGGGCATGTTTGGGGATGGTTTTTGGGGTGCCGGCAGCACCGAGCCGCCCAGCACGCCGTGCACCGGCCGCGGCCCAACAGCACGGGCATGGCCGAAGAGCAGCTCTGGGACAGAAAATGGGGTGTTGGGACAATTTGGGGACAATTTGGGACATTTGGGGACATTTGGGGACAATTTGGGGATGTTTGGGGATGTTTGGGGACACTTTGGGGACAATTTGGGACAATTTGGGGATGGTTTTTGGGGCGCCAGCAGCACTGAGCCACCGAGCACGCCGTGCACCGGCCGCGGCCCCGCGGCACGGGTATGGCCGAAGAGCAGCTCTGGGACAGAGAAATGGGGTGTTGGGACAATTTGGGACATTTGGGACAATTTGGGGATGTTTGGGGATGTTTGGGGATGGTTTTTGGGGTGCCGGCAGCACCGAGCCGCCCAGCACGCTGTGCACCGGCCGCGGCCCCGCGGCGCGGGCATGGCCGAAGAGCAGCTCTGGGACAGAGAAATGGGGTGTTGGGACAATTTGGGACATTTGGGGACAATCTGGGGACAATTTGGGGATGTTTGGGGACATTTGGGGATGGTTTTTGGGGTGCCAGCAGCACTGAGCCGCCCGGCACGCCGTGCACCGGCCGCGGCCCAACAGCACGGGCATGGCCGAACAACAGCTCTGGGACAGAGAAATGGGTGTTGGGACAATTTGGGGACAATTTGAGGATGTTTGGGGATGTTTGGGGATGTTTGGGGATGGTTTTTGGGGTGCCAGCAGCACCGAGCCGCCCGGCACGCCGTGCACCGGCCACGGCGCCACGGCGCGGGCATGGCCGAAGAGCAGCTCTGGGACAGAGAAATGGGTGTTGGGACAATTTGGGGACAATTTGAGGATGTTTGGGGACAATTTGGGGACATTTGGGGACAATCTGGGGATGTTTGGGGATGTTTGGGGACATTTGGGGATGGTTTTTGGGGTGACGGCAGCACCGAGCCGCCCAGCACGCCGTGCACCGGCCGCGGCGCCGCGGCGCGGGCATGGCCGAAGAGCAGCTCTGGGACAGAGAAATGGGGTGTTGGGACAATTTGGGACAATTTGGGACATTTGGGGACATTTGGGGATGTTTGGGGATGTTTGGGGATGTTTGGGGATGGTTTTTGGGGTGCCAGCAGCACCGAGCCACCAAGCACGCCGTGCACCGGCCACGGCGCCGCGGCGCGGGCATGGCCGAAGAGCAGCTCTGGGACAGAGAAATGGGTGTTGGGACAATTTGGGGACAATTAGGGACAATTTGGGGACAATTTGGGACATTTGGGGACATTTTGGGGATGTTTGGGGATGTTTGGGGACAATTTGGGGACATTTTGGGACATTTTGAAGATGTTTGGGGACATTTTGGGGACATTTTGGGAACACTTGGGGACCTTTTTCGGACATTTGGAGAGCGTTCTGAGGATGCTTGGGGATGTTTTGGGACCGTTTTTGGGACACTTTGCACATTTTAGGGACGTTTTTAGGACATTTGGGGCCATTTGGGTCATTTGGGGCCATTTTTGGGTCATTTGGGGCCATTTTTGGGTCATTTGGGGACATCTGGGGACATTTGGGGAGGAAGAGGAGGAGGAGCAGCGTCCTGGCAGCGGCCTTGGCCGGGCTCGGAGCCGTTTGTGTCCTTAAAAAAGAGGGAAAAGCAGAAATTTTGGGGGGAAAAGCAGCCAAAAAGGTGAATCGGTGCCAGGAGAGGAATTCCCACCAAAAACGAGAAGGAAGGACGGGAATTTTGGGGGAAAAAGCGGCTGAAAAGGGAAATCACTGCGGGATTGGAGCGTCTGGCGAGCAAAAGAGGGAAAAGCAGAAATTTTGGGGGGAAATCTGCAAAAAAGGTGAATTAACAAATGTGGGGTCTCTGAGCCTCCAAAAATGAGAGGGGAAAGCAGAGGTTTGGGGGAAAAAATCAGCCAAAAAGGTCAAAAACTAAAAACTACGGGTTTGGCTCTGAGGTGAACCCCAAAAAAGCGAGGAAAAGGATGGAAATCTTGGGGGGAAATCAGCTAAAAAGGTGAATTTACTGCAGGAAAGGGATTTCCTCCGAAAAAGAGAGGGGGAAACGGAGATTTTTTTGGGGGAAAAATCGGCCAAAAAGGTCAAAACCTAAAAGCTACAGGTTCAGCTGCGGCCCCAGCGGAGCTCGGGGCTCTCACCAGAACAACGCTCCAGCAGGGACTGGGTGGAATTCCCAGCCAGAATTTCCAAAACCTCCTTTTCTGCCCCAAAAGGCGCCTCCTGCAGCAGCCCTGCGGAAAGCGAGAGGGGGTTTTCCTTTTTTGGGTAGGATTGCTGCAAAATTGGGGATTTTGGGGTAAAATTGCTGAAAAATTGGGGTTTTTTTTGGGTAGAAGTGCTGAAAAATTGGGGATTTTGGGGTAAAATTGCTGAAAAATTGGGGTTTTTTTTTGGAGCAGAATTGCTGCAAAATTGGGGATTTGGGGTAAAATTGCTGAAAAATTGGGGTTTTTTGGAGCAGAATTGCTGCAAAATCTGGTTTGGTGGCAGAATTGCTGAAAAATTGGGGTTTTGGGGTAGAATTTCTGAAAAATTTGGGGTTTTGGGGCGGAATTTCTGAAAAATTTGGGGTTTTGGGTAGAATTACTGCAAAATTGGGGTTTTGGGGCAGAATTTCTGCAAAATTGGGGTTTGGGGCAGAATTTTTGAAAAATTGGGGTTTTGGGTAGAATTTCTGAAAAATGTGGGGTTTTGGGGTAGAATTTCTGCAAAATTGGGGTTTTTTGGGTAGAATTTCTGAAAAATTGGGGTTTGGGGGCAGAATTTCTGCAAAAATGGGGTTTTTTGGGTAGAATTACTGCAAAATTGGGGTTTGGGGGCAGAATTTCTGAAAAATTGGGGTTTTGGGGCAGAATTTCTGCAAAATTGGGGTTTTTTTGGGGTAGAATTTCTGAAAAATTGGGGTTTTTTGGGGTAGAATTACTGCAAGATTGGGGTTTGGGGGCAGAATTTCTGCAAAAATGGGGTTTTTTGGGTAGAATTACTGCAAAATTGGGGTTTTGGGGCAGAATTTTTGAAAAATTGGGGTTTTGGGTAGAATTTCTGAAAAATTTGGGGTTTTGGGGCAGAATTTCTGCCAAAAATTGGGGTTTTGGGGTAGAATTACTGCAAAATTGGGGTTTGGGGTAGAATTTCTGAAAAATTGGGGTTTTGGGGTAGAATTTCTGCAAAATTGGGGTTTTTTGGGTAGAATTTCTGAAAAATTGGGGTTTTGGGGCAGAATTTCTGCAAAATTAGGGTTTTCGGTAGAATTTCTGAAAAATTGGGGTTTTTTTGGGGTAGAATTTCTGAAAAATTGGGGTTTTGGGGCAGAATTTCTGAAAAATTGGGGTTTTGGGGCAGAATTTCTGCAAAATTGGCATTTTGGGCAGTTTCTGCCCAATTCCTGCTCCCCGGAGCCGCTGGGCAGCTCCAGGCAGGGACAAAACCCCAAAATTTTGGGATCGGCGATTCCCCCCGGGATGGGGCCTGATCGCAGCCCCAGGGGAAGCTCCTGAGATTCCAGTTGGGATTTTTTTTCCCTTTTTTTTGGCATTTCCTTGGAAAAATTCCGCTCGGCGCCGCCTCCCCCCCCAGCTGCCACCTGCGCCACCCCCGGGATTTGGGAATTCGGGAATCTGCCGGGATTTGGGAATTCGGGAATGTGCCGGGATTTGGGAATTCGGGAATGTGCCGGGATTTGGGAATTCGGGAAGCTGCCGGGATTTGGGAATTCGGGAATGTGCCGGGATTTGGGAATTCGGGAATCTGCCGGGATTTGGGGAGTTCGGGAATCTGCCGGGATTTGGGGAATTCGGGAATCTGTGAGGATTTTGGGAGTTCGGGAATCTGCCGGGATTTGGGAGTTCGGGAATTTGTCGGGATTTTTGGGAGTTCGGGTTTTTCGGGACTTTGGGAATTCGGGAATTTGTCGGGATTTTGGGAATTTCGGGAGTTCGGGATTTCAGTTTTGGGGTTTCTGGAGTAATTTCGGGATTCGGGAGTTTCGGGATTTCGGGAATTTTTCGGGGTTTGGGGATTTCAGGAGTTTCGGGATTTCGGGAATTTCGGGATTTCGGGAATTTTTCGGGAGTTGGGGACCAGCGGGGACGGGGCGGGTCCCTCCCGGGTCCCTCCCGCCGTGGGGACATTCCCGGTGTCCCCTCCCGGTCCTGTCCCGGTCCTGTCCCGGTCCTGTCCCGGTCCTGTCCCGGTTCCCGCTTGGCCCGGGCTCCATTCCCGCTTTTCTCGGGTTTAATTCCCGCTTTTCCCGGGCTCCATTCCCGCTTTTCTCGGGTTTAATTCCCGCTTTTCCCGGGC